GGAACAATCAGGATTTGGTAATAACATCCAGAAATCAATAATGGTTTATGAAAAATAAGCTTAATAAAAGGAAAACTAGAAAAATCACTCAGTTTGCCACAAATATAGCACCATGAGTTCAGAATACTGTCGTTTTTTCCTTCTGTATATGGCTGGTACCTAGGAAAGATCCTTGACACAGTGGTGATGAATTATCAGATGAGCAGGTCTTCATAAGGGCCTACAGCTTTAGTCTGCCTTACCAGCCTCCCTCATTCCTAAAGACAGCTAAGGTTCAGTGTTCCTACCCAAACTCATGTTAAAGCCACAGTTCCCACCCCCATGTCTTGTTCTGTCTTGTCCTTCTGCCATGGATGAAGTAGCATGAAGGTCTTTATGAAGCGTGAGTGCCTTTACCTTGGCTCTCTAGCCTCCAGACATTGAAGAAATACCTTTCTGTTCTCTACATATTACTCAAGTTCAAGTATTCTGCTATAGTAGTACTACACTGGCTAAATCACAGATACACAAAAATACTTCATTATTATTGGAGGTTTTTGCTCTTTTGGGGGACCCGCCACCCAGCTCCCAAATAAATCATACACGGAGGCTTATTCTCAATCATACATGCCTGGCCTTAGCTTGTTTCTTGCCAGCTTTTCTTAACCTAAATTCTCCCTTCTACCTTTTGCCTCTGGGCTTTTTTCTTTTCTAACTTCTGTATATCTTACTTTTACTCTTATCCTGTGGCTGGCTGTGTGGCTGGCTGGCTGTGTGACTGGCTGGCTGTGTGACTGGCTGGCTGTGTGGCTGGCTGGCCGTGTGGCTGGCTGGCTGTGTGGCTGGCTGACTGTGTGGCTGGCTGTGTGGCTGGCTGGCTGTGTGACTGGCTGGCTGTGTGGCTGGCTGGCTGTGTGGCTGGCTGGCTGTGTGGCTGGCTGTGTGGCTGGCTGTGTGACTGGCTGACTGTGTGGCTGGCTGTGTGACTGGCTGGCTATGTGACTGGCCCCTGAAGTCCTCCTCCTCCCTCTCTCATTCCCTGATCTTTCTTCTTCTCTTCCCAGATTTTTTCCTTCTATTTATTCTGTCTGCCAGCCCCGCCTATCCTTTCTCCTGCCTTGTTATTGGTCAGTTCTTTATTAGACCATCAGGTGTTTTACACAGGCACAGTAACACAGCTTCACAGAGTTAAACAAATACAACATCAACAAAAGTAATATACCTTAAGATAACATTCCCCAACACTTTATTACTATGAACATTTCACAGTACTGTGATTATTAATCCTAATTGTTTATTTGATGGGGTTCTGAATCATCATTACATGTCGGTGAGGCATTTTCTAGATTGCGTGGGTTAATTGGAATGGAAAGATTCACCCTACATGGGGGCAGCACCACTCCACGGTCTGGGGTCCCAAAATGAATAAAAAGGAAGCAGGAAGCTCTGGAGCATTCATTTCACTCCCTTCCTGACTGTGGATGCGATGTGACCAGCTGCTTTCAGTCCCACAGCTTTCCCTCCACATAGTCTATAACCTCCAACAGGAACAAAATAAACCCTCCCTTCCTTAAACTGATTTCGTCAGGTGTTTCATTCTAGAACTAGAAAAGTAACTAGTAATAAATTGGTACAAGTGCCATGTCATTGCTGTGATAACCCTGAGTATGTGGTTCACCTGTCTTTGGAACAGTGTTATAAGGAAGAATGTGGGACTGTGGGGTAGAAAAGCCCTGGAAGGCTGTAAGCAGAGACTACCAGGCCATTCTGGTTAGAAACAGACAAAAATGTGGACATGGAGAACTGGCTCATGAAATTCCAGAAAGAAGCAAGGGCACTACTGGGATTTGGGCTAGTCTATTCCTGTGGTCATGCCATCAGGAATCTGGCTGCATTCGGCCTGCTCCCTGAACCCTTGAGTGAGGATGAACACAGGAGAAATGGACTAATTTGTGTGGTAGGGAAAATGCCAAGGAAGAATGGCATCCAGGCTGTGGCCTGCTCTCTTCTCTCATTTAGTCTTCAGTGAAAGAGAGAGCAAAAAGTGGAGTCGAACAACACAGAAAATGTACAGTGTGGTAAGAAAAGGAGTATCAGCAAATTTCACCTCACAGAGGAGGCAGGTTCAAAACAGCTGAAACTGCTACAGAGATCGACGACATGAAGAAAAACTTGGGATCTACATGGGCACAATAAAAGTGTTTTGAGGGCAAGACCTAACCCATCACAGACTCCTTGAGAAAACGCAAGCTTATCTGAAAGAAGAGAGACTAAACTGAGAACTTCACTCAAGGGGTTCCATGGGTGTGTTTCCCCAGGGTCAGCACACAGATGCCGATACCACTGTGGTCCAAGGGAGCCATGCTCCACACACAGCTGCCAGATGAACTTGGCAGCTTTGTTCACTCAGTACTGGTTTTGCAGGTATAACAGATAGAGGAATAAGGGTGTCAAGATAGTCTTACATCAAAGTTCTAGAGAGCTGCTGAAGAGAGGCAGTGTGTGGCAGGGTTGCAGTCCTTGTAAAGATATCCTAAGGAGCCACATAAGCAACTGAAAAGGTATGAATTGCAATGGAGACTCCAGGATTTTGAAGATGCCAAGAGCTTGAGACATTCACTGAAGAAATTTGAATGTCAGCTTTGCAGCTGGTCCAACACTATGTGTGCTCCAGGCGGCAAAGCTGAAGGGGCTACTCAAGTCTTTTACCCAGATGATTCTATCATGAGCCCCAGATGCAGGACATGAACGACAGGATTTAGTGTCTGCTCACTGGGTTTCAGCCTTGCTTAGGCCAGGTTGTTACTATTCCATCATTCTTCCTTTATGGAATGGGATATGTATTCTGTGCCACTGTATAGTGGAAGTACATTAGTTAGGAGGTTGCCTCGAGCCTCAGATGAGAGTTGGACTTTGGAGTTTTAAATAGCATGGGGCTGCTAAGGCTCCAGGGACATTTGAAGCTGTACTGAATACATTGGGGATTATGGGATAGCCATGAGCCTATGGTGCCAAAAGGTGGAAGGTTATGGTTTTAAAGTGACATGTTTGGGTGTCAAGATGACAAAATCTGGAGTTGAAATGGTTCATCTTGACTTCCCCACTGATGGTACTTTTAGAATCCATGGAAATAACTTCTGTGAGGATTAACTTCTGTGAGGATTTCTGTGAGGTTAACTTTGCTAGAATGGTAGGGAACACCATGCAATGGGATGTGATCCCAGAGCGAACTAGAAAGGAAAAACAAAGTTGAGTAGCAGCATTCTGTTGTGGGATATTTGTACACTGTGTGAAAGTGTATTGCTGTGATTGATGAAATAAAAAGCTGAACATCTAATACCTAGGCAGGAGGTAGAGGCAGGACTTCCAGGCAGAGAGAAAGGAGAAGAAGGACTCTACACATGTGTGGAGATGCCAGGAGACGTGGAGAGGAAGGAAACAAGAGGTGCAGGATGAAAGAAAGGTAGAAGGCCACATGGTAAAACACAGATTAATAAAAGCAGGCTAATTTAAGTTATAAGAGCTAGCGGGTCAAGACTAAGCTAAGGCTGAGCTTTCATAATTAATAATGAGTCTCTGTCATTCCTTGTGAGCCGGTGACCCAAAGAAAAATCTGACTACAGCATTCTTTTTATTTTGATTTCCTTCAGTGCATGGAATGCAACCTCAATCACCTGCCATCCAGATTTTCCTGCCACAGTGGACTATACCCTCAAACTGTGTGCCAATAAGCCCTTCCTTCCTTGAGGTGCAGGACCTTTGCTGCTGCTAATCTTATGAGCCACAGGTAAATGCTATGACCATCCTGGCTGGGAACCTTGGCAGCTGTCATAAAAGCAGCTTTGTAGGCACCCTGGATTTGACTCTAAAGCTGATTTCTAAAGGTGCCTAATAAACTGCAATTTAATATACAAAGTTCAATTGGTTAAAATCTTCAGAAGACTATTCTAAATACAAAACACTACATTATATTGCTATTTTTCTAAATACTTTGCCACAGGGACAATATTTTTAGTAATATCAGCATTTGAACAGAAGTTTTAAATAATAATAGCAAATAAAATATCTAACTCTAGAAAAAAACCAGACATACAGTCCCCAAGTTATGAATGGCTTGGCTTCATGACATTTTAAGTTTACTATGGAGAAAAGCAATACACTTTAAGTAAACATGATCTTTCAACTTTTGAATTGTTCCTAGCTAGTGATAAATGATGCAGTACTGTTCCTTGGTCCCGAGTAGTGCGGGGACCCAGAGTTTCCTGTCACACATTCTGTCACAAAGGTGAACTACAGTGTACAGTGTCACTAGTTATGACTTCAATCGGTTCATCACCTTATGTGCATTTTCATTTACAATACTAACAACTTCTGATGAGTCCAGAAGTTGAGGATTATCTGTACAGTAATTCACCCTTGGATTTCCACACATTGTTTTAATGATTGGATGTCTGGGTTTCACTTTATGTGTGCAGTAAAGGGAAGCTATTAATGTTGTTCCATGTCACATTGTTCATACTCCACATAATCACAGGCTTAACTGTCTCTCAGACTCACTGGAATATGAACCCTTTGAAGACATGATAAAACACAAGCTAGGTATCACTTATGCAAAAGGCTTGGGAACAGCAGTGTTTCATATTTTGGACCTTTTGGGTACTACAGTATCTGTACATACACTGAGATATCTTGTGGACATTAACTGTCTTAACACCAAATTCTTTAGACAGCTTACACACAGAGTCCAGTGGTAAATTTAGCTAATATTTTTATAATATTATGATAATCTTATGCTTTGAATGTGACCTGGTATAAGAGATTTTATATATAGGGCACTCCATGTCTGTATCAAGATGGACCTTTCACATTAGAGATATCTGGTTCTCCACTGATGGCCCCAAGTCCACTGCTCTTCCCTTAATCAATAATGCTAATTTTCTTATAATGGTCCAAGTTGCTCCCAAAGAATTCATTGAAATACATAACCTGAGATTGGAGGCACGAAGGGCAAGCATCCTTACCTGGGAAAGCTTATGCTTCTCTCTGTTTCCTCCCGTTTCATTGTGTAATGTATAAACTGGAGTATACTGCACCAAACCAGAACAGGTTCCATAATCTTCCTCATTTTCCTACACATAAAGAAAAGTAGAATTATTTCACAATACTCCACTTTTTAACTAAAGTTATTTAATAAAATATCTGTTAAACATGCAAAGAAAAAAATAACACTTTAGCTATAATTTTAAAGAATCTTCTGAGGAAGAAGTAATGATTTTCTATGGTGTAACTTAATAATTTAAAAAAATAATCCATACTTTCACTAGTTGGAATAAAATTTATAAAGACACACATTCCCTATTACTACAATGGAAGATTTAAAGTAGTTTTTCTTCAAAAGTAAAAATTCAAAACACAACTGTTAATAAAACTGCAAAGATGTAATGTGTAATCAAACCAAACACACAAATATAGATATATAAATATTTACATGATTCAATACCCATAGGTTCAAAATCCAATTATTGTGATATTTTATAAGTTAGGAACATTCTTCAATGTAATAGCTACTATTGGAATGAACCTATAAAACCAAAGGGTGGCATTTCTTGATAATTCCACCCCAAAGATACTTTCTTTAAAATGGTCAACTTGAAGAAAGATTTTATGAAAACATATATCCTGTTAAAAATATCTTTGAAGATCTCTACATTCTGTGATAAAATATGCAAACAATAAAGAGATTATTCAGTAGATGCATATAGAATAGCAGAGAGTTAGTTGCCAGAGGACTTGTTATAAACAATATATTCTTGAACAAAGGGAAAAGCATATTTCAAAAGCCATTAAAACATAAATCTCACATTGTTCGTAGAGCAGGGGCTGCAAAGTCATACAAAATCAGGGTGAAAATATCAGGATGACAGATGCAGACGTACCTTGTGTTTCAGCCTGCTCTTCACCTCCTTTAGTCCCAGTCTGGCATGACTCTTTGCCTAGAAAATGAGAATAAGTGTATCTAGCTTTGCATGCTTCTATTATCATTTACTATATATGTGTATGTGTGTGTGTGTGTGTGTGTATATATATAAAACTATCTCTAATAAGCATTCCTAACTATCCATATTTCTTAGAAAAGGAAAAATTATACCCCAACACTATTTCCAAGGATGCCATCTAGTTACTATTTTATTAAGCCTAAATTGGTGGTAAAAATGGGTCAACCTATATTGCATACAAACACACAAAGATTAACATTCAGTCTAGAATCAATCAATTGGGTAACTAATGCCCATTATTAATTTAAAATTGTCACCAATGAGAAACAGAGACAAGGTAAATCACAGTATCAAGTTATTTGGGCAAATGTTTAAGCATCAAGGAATTCAAGCAATTTTAGAGGGCATTATTAAAGTGCTTTTTCAAACAGATATTGACTAGCACTGGCATCTTAATGGTATGGCTAGTTCACACACAGATTTTCCAATAAAAATTAAATCACTGAAAATTTTACACTATCTTTATGTATCTTTGGGATTTGGCCTCAAGGTTGAGTATCTCCAATCTGGCTGCAAATTGTGGGGTCCAACTTCAGACAACTGGGACTTTGTTGGAGGGATGGATGTTTTGCACTGGAGATTTCTACTCACAGTGTTCGTCATAAAGAGAGAGGAAAGGAAGCCTCATTTGCTTTGTGTTTGCTGACTGTGTGCTGGCTGCTCAGACACACTGCACTCTGTTGTCACAACTCCAAGATTACACTGCTAGCAAGACACCTTATAAAAAAGGACAGTGACCAAGGAAGACTAAGTCTACTAGTCTAGATTCGAATCTGGGTTATATTTAGTTATGAAGTCTAACTCCTCCTCTGCTCAAAGATGAAGGAGAAAACAGTGTTTTTAAAATACACCAGTGTTTTAATCTCATCAAAAGGAGGGTGGCGTAACTCTTATCTACAGACATAGAGTCTGGGTTTCAACCTCAAAGTCCTTGTTCCCACTACCCTATGCTGCTTCCTAAGTTGTTTGTAAGGGGTGTCAAATCATGACTCTCATGTTCACAGAGGGAAAGGACCATTCCCCATTAACAAGTGTAAAGCCCAGATGACCAATGACATACAGATAAACACTCAAGCAATGTTCTGAAATAAATGCAAGAATTATTTGCATTACTTAAATAAAACAAACTGAAATATATTACAATAGAAGATAATTTCAGAAGCCATTTAACACTAGACTATATCCTCTGAGTTTTTGGTTTTGTAATTTTTTAGAATCAATCAAGACATTTCATTCATTACTTTATCTGTAAAGCAACTGAACCAAAGGGTTCTATATTCAGCCCTATGTTGTGATAGGTGAAAGAATGTCATTATCAAGAAAAACTGCTTTTCTTCTTCCTATCATCTCTTAGAATTTGAGGCAGTGTTGCTTTGCTCACGCTGTTCTTTAGTTAGCTCCACTATATCCTAACCCATCTACCACACTGTTTCCAGATGGTCCTTAGTATATAAAGTTGAATTTAGCATTGGTCTCTTCCAGCTTCCAAATTTGTCCACCGTTAATTCTAAAGTCTACCTGGAAGACGGAGCAAAGTTTCCATCTACCTTGCAGCTTAGCCACACAAAGTTGTGTGCCTAACTAATAAAACGATCTAACAAAACAGGTACTTAGATCATTTAGACAGATCAAACATGCATTTCATCTGGTTGCGCTTCTTTTGTTTATAGTGTTTGTTATCACCGTTATCCTCTAAGTCATGAGGAATCTATGGAGAAATATGGAGACTTAAAGCATCTTCTAGGGACCAGATGCTACCACACATTGTTCGGTTTATTTTCTCCTCAAGCAAATAAGAAACATTTAAAATATATTGGAGGAATTAACCCAATTTTCAAACTAGGATCTCACTGTGGACTGCTTCAAAATTTGCTAAACGATTTTGCTGATAACTTAAATAAAACAAGAAAATACTTTTAGATTGTATAAAGGAAATACCTTTCTATACAATATTGTTTTAATAACAAACTTTATTTTGCTCAATATCCACCCTAAACATTTTGTTAAGCATATTCTAAAAATAAAAAACCACAGCTGTGGCAATAACTCGGAAGGTAAAGCTCTTGCCACACTGCTGTGAAGACCTGCGTTCAATCACTAGAACCAAGTAAAAGGCTGGACACGAGGTTGCTGAGCTGGTTACAGGGCTGCAGCGCTGGTTACAGGGCTGCTGAGCTGGTTGCAGGGCTGCTGAGCTGGTTACAGTGCTGGGAAGGCAGAGACTGAGAGGCACCTGACCTTGCCAGTGGTGAGCTCCAGGCTCCAGTAGGAGACCTGTTTTAAATTACAGTGCCACAGCTGGTCGAACACAGAGAACAACTGACTGGATGCTCAGCCCCACTGATAAATCTACAACACAATCCCTACAGCCAAGGCTCATGGAACATCATGGAAAGATTGTAAGGGTCACCAGGAGCAGGACAGGATGCCTACTGCATGATAGTATCTTCTGTCTACAGCCGTGAAGATGCACCCGGAAATCTCAACAATATGGCTGCCTAAACAAGATCTAAAAAATCACTACACCAATTGATGTGCCCTGTGGATGGGGAAATCCTAACAGGGCTTGACTCCTAGGAAAAGAGCTACTAGCAATTACTGGCAGCTAAGAGGGAGAGAATCTGTCTTCTCCAGGAATAAATGGCCTGATAGGTTGCCAACCACAAGAGGTCATCCCTAAACACATGAGCAACACTAAATGAACTCAGCAAGTTGTATTTATAACTTATATACATATATATACTTACACACGTACATATATATGTAATAATTATAACTTAAAAATAGGAGGACATCAATTTGAGGGTGGGAGTTACACCAGAGGAACTAGATGGAGGAGACAGAGGAAGAGAGTGATGTGAATACAGTATTCATATATGAAAATGTCTTAAAAAGAAGTCTAGAAAGTAATATATTCCATTAAAGAAAAAACAGAAACACACACAAGCACACAAGTGCACGTGTGCGCACACACACACACACACACACACACACGGCTCCTGATGACGGAGAATAGAGACCGACACTTGTTTATGGACGTGTGCACACACAAGCTGGAGCACCTTGGTCACTGGCACTCGTGGGCACATCCTCCCCCAAATGGACAAATAGAAAGCACTTTGAATTTACATGTCTACCATCTACATGTGAGTGTTATCAGCACAAGTCTGAAACTCAGAGGACACTCACGAATTTGTATGCAGTCCGCACTGCAGGGGTTGCTTTGGTCACCGCTGTGTTGAACAACGCACTTCCTTTCTGAAAGAGAGAAATGGTTTTGAAGACTTGTGGGCAAACCCTCCTGAAAATGAAGCATTGTCAGTAGTACAGAAAAGAATTGTAAGTTAAAGACCTATACAATTATGTCCAGTGTTGTTAAGAGTTTATATTTTATACTAATTTAGAACAGGGTCTAAATATTCTACTCTGTTCTTTCAGTTGATATAAAGCATCAGTTAAGGGTCATTTCATCACTGAAGTTTGGATAGAAGAGTAATATAGACAATACTGAATACAGATTTAAAGTTTCTCAATAAAAAGTATATAATGTTTATCAGCTGGTTTGATGTGGGGCAATAAAGACTTTTCATGTTAAAGAAAACTACTAACAAAACTATGTAATCCAATAAAATCCCCATCCACCCCTACTACCGCGCCTTAGTGCTCACTGACAAATACCAACTTCTAGAGGAAGGATTTATTACATCATACAGGTTAGAGTCCATCATCAAAGGAAGCTGGGGCAGGAGCTCAGGCAGGAACCTGAGGAGGAGTGCTGCTCACCGACTCCCTTCCAAGCTCATATGCAGCTGCCTTTCTTAAGCCTCCCAAGACCACCTGCCCAGGGTGGTACTGCAACAGTGGGCTAGTACATCAATCACCAATCAGGAAAGTGCCCCACACACATGCCCACAGGCCACTATGATGGAGGCATTTCCTCCACTGAGGCTCCCTCCTCCCAACTGTGTGAAGTTGTTAGAAACCAGCCAGCACACTGGTGTTCTGAAGGATAGGAGAAGGGCAGGTGTTGGTCTTAAATAAGCCTTTCCCCTGTGAACTAAACATTTTCATTTTAAAATTTCCTTTATAATTATCAACAAACTATAAACAAAAAATATACTTAAAGTATGATAAAACATCATATTTCAAATTAAACAGTGTTAAGTGTAGCCAGAGTACTTTCTCCGAACATTTCTCCACACTTTCTAGAGGACACAAAAGACAAAACCAAAGGCTTATGCTTACCTTGACTGTATGCACCCACTGTTGATATGACCTCGGGCTCCCTGAAACACAAAAATTAGATGCTGGGAATCACTGCTAACAAGAGAGACTGGAAAGCAGAGTTGGCCCAGCTGGCCCTGCAGTAAAAGCGGCACTGATGTTGTAGGAATGAGTGAGCTGTAACAGAGCAATCAGGACTTACACCACACATGCTTTCACATGTGAAGAAAGGCTTAGCTAGATTCACTCATTTTAATATTTGCTTTTCAATGGAAAATATAACCTCCTGAAATTCAACATGTCTATGCTCTTAAAAATAAATTTTTCAATGATTTATGCCTATTGTGTTAAAAATACGTCTGTTTTATAGTTAGGTTCACTTAAAACATTTCAAGTGTGAAGAGTGAAGGAAGTTGGGAAATGCAGAAAATTGAGGCCAAAAGACATGGTTTTGTATTTTTTAAATAGTAACGTACACTAACAAGTACTTGTATTTTAGCATAACTAAATGACACTTTTATCTGAAATTATTCTCTAGCTTTCTAAATGTAAAAAATATCGCTGGAAGGAAATATGAAAAGAGCGAACATCCCAGTTATGAAAGAGCTGACCTGACAGAACTACCTCTAACAAACTCTGACAGTTCAGGCTGGGGAGACACTCAGTGAGTAAAATACCTGCTGTGCACACCTGAGGACCTGAGTTTGATTCAGACAAAAAAGCCAGGTGGGGTGGTCCACACCTAGAGTCCTAGTGCTGGGGTGCTCCACACCTAGAGTCCTAGTGCTGGGGTGCTCCACACCTAGAGTCCTAGTGCTGGGATGGTAGACACAGGCACATTCCTCTGCGAGACCCAAGTCACTTAACCAAGGTACATGGTGAGTGACAATAATGGACAAGGTTATCCTTTGGCTTCCTCATCCACTCAGACCCCAGACACACACAAACATGCACCCAAAACTCTGTCAATAAACATACTCACTTGCAGAAAACCATTAATTATTTGGTCAATGAAATGAAACTACTAGCCAAAAGAGAAACACATATCTGGTGCTAGAGAGATGGTTCAGCAGTTACTAACACTTTGTTCTTGCAGAGGACCCAGGATCAACTCCCAGCACCCACACGGTGACTCACAACTGTCTATAACTCTAGATCCAGGGATCTAGCATCCTCTTCTGGCCTCTATAGGCACCAAACATGAATGTAGTACGTACACACACACACACACACACACACACACACACACACACACACACGCAGCCAAAACACTCATACAAATAAATAAGCAAACAAACAAATAAATAACTGTCTCCCCCAAAAGACTTAGAAACACACAGTCTTTCAAACTGATTTATTACAGCTAGATTTTAAATTACCTTCTTAATTTTTTACAATGCTTAAATAATCTCAAAAATTACGTGGGTAAAAGTCATTACTAAAAATAAAGTCTCAATGGCTACTCAGTAACTGTTGCACAAAGAACCCCTCAAGATACAGCATAGTCTTTTTATGTGGTTGTATCTCTGTTTTAAAAAGAAAATATACCAAGAGCAAGAGAGATGTTCAAGGCACCAGCCTGCTTATAGTTAAGACTGATGAGCCGAGTTTGATCCCCAGAACTCACACAGTAGTAGGTGAGCACTGAATCTGACCTATTCATATGTAGGGGCATCCATACACGCACATACATGCACAATTGATAAATAAATGTAAAAATTGCCATCACCTTGATGCTAGGAACCAGTGTGAGAACAGCTGCCCACCTGGTGTAGTAGGGCTCAGCTCAAAACTGATACTGTGGTCTCAGCCTAGCAGTTTCCTGTAGTGGTTGGCTGTCTGTGCCATGCCCTGAACCACCACCCCCTAGTGAGGCAGCAGGGAGCTGCTAGGGACCTGCCCCTTGGGCGTGGCCACCAGGGACCCTTAAGACCAGGGATGCACATATGCGTTCTCTCTACCTCATGGATTTTGGATGCTGAGATTGACAGGGCAGAGCTCGCCAGAGAACAGTTTAGACCTTGCCTCACCCTTCCAGGATCCTGCTACAATCCCTTATTTCTGTCTTGTGAGTTAACCCCCAAATAAATACCTTTGATCATTAGGCTGATTCCGTGGGCTGATAGCAATTAAATCACATTTGTTTCCTGCTATTTCTGAAGCATTAACAAAAACTGGGCACTGAAAAATGTCTGGTTCTGGATTAATTTTATCCTTCAAATCTCTCCCTAACTTAAAAGAAAAACCAAGTTTGGATTGCTTTTATTACAGATTAGTAATATAGATCTCTTGCTGCATTTGTTCTTTTTTCTTGGAGAAGAAAATCCAGGGTCAAACAACAGTATGGCTTGTCCCCACAGATTCAGATACATATTTCCCTTGTAAAATGGTGAAAATAATTCAAGTTATCCTACCAATTTATTTTTCAAATAAAGTTTAATTTATTAGCAACAAAATCATATCTTTCATCCAGATCATCTTTACTTTTTTTTTTTTTTTAAGCTTTTGAGGCAGGGTCTCATCTAACCCAAGCTGATCTCAAATTTGTTATAAACTGAGAGGGGCCTTTGGCTCCCTGTCCTGATGCTTCACCTCCCACGTGCCAGAATCACAGTGTATACCATATTCTCATCAGTTCATTATCCACTACTCGTCCTCACAAACGACTGCATGGAAACCCGTCATTTAGGAGCTGTACATTATTTACAATTATAACCTATGGTGTTTATTTCCCCAAAATGAATTCAAGAAAGTGGAAGAAAAACAGGATAGTATGGTAACAACTTAAGACTCAAGAATAATTGTCAACCCTGAAAAAAATGCTAATGTATCAACTACAAAGAAAACAGTTGTGGCAAAATCATATAGCAGTTTCAGGAGGAAGTTAAACATCTTACTTAAAATTATAAGGTTACGTTCATATTCAGCTCTTATAGGTCATGAGATGTTTTCACCTACTGTACATTGTCTGAGCTGCATTTCTCTCCTGTAAAATATACAAAACAGGCAGTGCCATGAGAAGGATAAGGTCTCTGGCTGTGGCCTGGACCTCTCGAGTGCAGGGCCACCTCATGGATGACACCACTAGGACTAGTTCCATTAGCAACCACAAAACTAAGAATCAGGTATTTTAAGACCTGGCTCATTGTTTCTTCAACTCTGAAACACCACCTCTAGGAATGCTTAACAACAAACAGAACAGAGCAAGTTATCCAGGGACTTCCTCTGTCTAGTTTCAAAAGTGATTACCTTCAAAAGGAAAGGGGTGTTGAAAGCCGGGGCTGTGGAAAGAATACAAGTCAGGAAAGCAGTAAGGGCTGGATGGGTGGATGTCACGGTACAGGAGCTGGGTAGAACACAGATAGTAAGAAGAAGGAAAAGGGAATGATGGAGTGGGAAGGGTTAAGTGGGGGATGAACTGGAGAGCAGGAGAGGAGGAGCATGGGGAGGGGCAACTAACACTGAAGACTTCTGGGAATGCTACAGGGAACCGTATCATAGAAGATACGTAAAACATATTTAAACATAAAAGTTTAAATAGAGTTGCCTTATAAAGGGATACAATGTCTTTGCTAAATAACACCAAATAAAAAGAAAAAAAATGACTAACTCCTATTGTTTATCTTTTCTATTTCAAATCCTAATGAATCAAGTATTATTTTTTTCTAAGAACAATATCTATGTATTTTAAGATAATTTAAAATATAAATAACACCTGACTGGCATAATTTTTAAAAATGCTTTCTTGTTCATTCAAATTAATAACTATGGAAATGAATTTTCCTCTTGGATAAGCATTTGCTCCCTCAGATTAGAACATGGGAGCTGGAAATCATTTTAATTATAATAAAAACCATTAAATTAAATAGAATTAAGTAGATCACTAAGTCAGATGCTGACCAAGATCATATCCTCTTGTTCTTCTTTTAAGAACTACAGATCTTAGTTAAGAAATAATAAAAATAAAATGAATTAGTTATCCTTATCTACTAGTGGCAGCCTTTAATACTCCTTTATTTCTTCAGTTTCTGGACTAGCAGTTATTACTACAGAATTTAAGCGTACAAAAGGATCACAGCTCTACCCCATTACTGTCACAAGATGTCATCTTCAATTCTACAAAAGCTACCAGCCCCACGGGTCATAAAGATAATGAGACAGCAGTTATGTAAATACTGAGTAGATGCCTCAAGCAATTTGTCCATAAGCTGACAATATTTTGCTTGTCTGAGTTGAAAAGTGAAAAAGCGTCATTTTAACACAAAAGTTCCATTGAAGCTAAATTTCTGCCCGTGAGCTGAGGAGAGGGAGCTGAAGGAACCCACATTTAGCTCTCTTGCTGAGTCAGACAAACTAACTTTCCCAAGACCAGTGAATCCGTGAGGTGCTGGACTTCCGCCAGGGGGAAGACCTACGGCCGCCAAGCTCATCTGCTGTCTTGTGATGAGCAAATTCTCTTCATCCGCTTATTTCTATGCTTTATGGCTGGCAATGAGTATCATTTTAGGGTAAAGTCAAGGTGTGAAACTTGAAGACATGTACTTATTACTTTTTATCTTCTCAATTCTAGTAACTATTTATTCAAACATAGACTAAAAACCTGACTATGGAAGCAAACCAACAAAAAGGTCAAAATAACACACCAGCACAGAGAGAGAAGATATGTTGTTCACTTGGGTCTCACAAATACAGAGCAGTGTGCTCAGCAATCTTGCTTCAAAGCACCACTGAAACACTGGAGGACTCATGGAAAATTCTCTGCATGCCAGGACTGTATAGAACAACATCTGCCGACAACGTGTCAACTCATGAATCATTCTTTGCCTGGATATTTACATTTGCAGGGCATTCTATTTTTGGAATGGTAAAGTTAAAACTTTGCTAATACTACAGTAGTCTGCAAAAATTGTAAAGATTCCCACATAACACCCCCTGAAACAGGAAGTATGCACGAGGAATTCCAGCACTTTCTGCTGCACCACACTGCAGTACACTACTTTAACCAGAGTCTCAGTTCCAAATTCAGACTCAATCATAGACGTCACTCACCACTTTCTAGAAGAAACCACTATTTGGTGGGAAAGGGTAAAGGATATAAATTAAGTGGAATTCTGTTGTTTATTTCCAATAATACTAAGAGGTTATTGGAGCCAAATAACTACCAAATGATGGGATTACCTTCTTGCCTTGATCATGAAAATAAACCCATAGCACAGTTCATATCAGATGTAAATTGTACATAAGACATTGTGTGTTTAGGAGAAAATGATTGTTTATAAAAATACAGGTATCAGAGCCAGGCACAAAAATCAGACATGTCTAGAAAATGAATACTCATACTCAAAAACAGGCACAAAATCAGACATGTCTAGAAAATGGATAACCATACTCAAAAACAGGCATAAAAATCAGATGTTGTCTCAAAATAGGATGACCACACTCAAAACTGTCCTTACCTCCAGAGAAGCCCCCCGCAGTGATCTCTTCTTCGAATATATCAGAGAACCCCCTTCCTGCATTAAGCTTTGCCAGTCGGCCATCAATAAACTGAAATGTAAAAGTTTCAAATGTTAATTTTTTCATAGGCTTTACAACAATAAAAATTACTTATAAATACAGAAAAATGGGGGAAATGGATAAAATAAAAATAAGGATGTCTACAACAGTCACAGGAATCATACTATTAACAATTTACTTAAAAGAAAACCATATACATGTAATTGTGTGTATAGATATACATACATAATTTTAATGAACTTTTCTCATTTGGGCTGACAATGTTTCCTCCAAGAGTCAAAGACCATTTAACAAAAACCACAGTAACAGTCGTGAGAAGCATCTTTTGAGTGGATGGCCAGGGCTGTGCAAGAGACTTCTAAAACATACAGCCCATTAGATACCTTGATCAGTCTTGATGCAGGGGGGAGGGGCTTAGTCCTGCCTTGACTTGGTATGCCAGACTTTGTTGACTCCCCAAGAGAGGCCTTACCCCCTCTGAGGAGTGGATGGGGGGTGGGGAGGATGGAAGAAGGAGAGGGAGAGGGAACTGGGGTTGGTATGTAAAATGAAAAAAGAATTTTAAATTAATAAAAAAATTGCCTTTCGTGGCCCCCAAAGGTGGAAGGTAAGTCCCTACTGCTGAAGACACCATGCACTTCAGACACAGGGCCAAGAAACCCCTGTGCTGGAACTGACTTGAATGCCTCTTCCCTGAGGACTAGCTCTAACAGTGTCAGAGGCCACCATGCAAGCTTCCAAAGGAGAGAGGCAACCAACAGTCCTGCCTAGCTATGACGCCTGTGAACCACATCAACAACCAGAAGGGCACAATAAGGGGGCACTACTGGCACGCATACCATGTAAACAACAGCTCTCTAACTGTTAAGACCCACTCAACAGGAGAGAAACCATGCCTAGCACTGGAAACCTAGGTAACTACCAGTGCTCATGCTCACAGTTATTGGAGGAGAATCTACAACAACTAATTTACTAAAGCAGCATAATTCTAACAATCTCTACAAACATTTGTCCTTACACCCATAGATAGGCATAGTTCTCACCCCTCATTAAGGAAACTTCTCTTTTGCAACAGATGGAGACCACTACAGAAAACTATAACCAAACAAAATGAAGAGTTGTGGAGACCAGTCCCAACAGCTACATCTACAAAACAAGTCCCACACCTAAGGCTCACAGAATGTTGCAGAAGATGGGGGCATAAAGATTTAAGAGCCAGAGGATCAATGAGTTTACTGTGAGACTGTGTTTCGTAGTAATATCAGAAGCCACACCCATAAAGTGTCACCGACATGACTGCCCAAACACGAGCTCAACAAAAATGACAACAATGGATATGTCATAGCAGATGGGGAAAAGCTCAACAAGTCCCAATTATACACAAAGAACTATAGGCAACTGAGTAAAGCTGGGAGTAGGAAAGGTGGTCTTCTCAAGGGATGAGCACACCAACTGTTTGTTCAGTGCCGAAAGGTCAACCCTGAAAACATTCTGTGGTGGTGGTTTGAATAGGTATGCCCTCCCCCATAGCTTCGTGAGTTTGAATGCTTGGCCTATAGAGAGTGGCACTATTAGTAGGTGTAGCCTTGTTGAATAGGTATGGAGTTGTTGGAGGAGGTGTGTCACTGTGGGAGTGTGCTTTGAGGTCTCATATGCTCAATCTATACCCAGTGTGGGACATAGTTCACATCCTGTTGCCTGTGAATCAAGATGTAGAACTCTCAGTTACCTCTTCAGCACTACCCCTGCCTGCATGCCACCAGGATGATAACAGACTAAACCTCTGAAACTGTAAGCCAGTTGCACTGAAATGTTTTCCTTTATAAAAGTTGCTGTGCTCATGGTGTCTCTTCACAGCAATAGAAACCCTAACTAAGAAACATTCATACAAGTAACATTATAAAGACCGAGCCTGTTATATTTAGGAGAGATATACATATGTGCATGCAGTAACAGTGAAAAAAGAGGCCATGAATTTGAGGGAGAGTGGGTAAAGGTATATAGGAGGATTTGGAAGGAGAAAAGGGAAGGGAGGAATGTAATTATATTACAATCTCAAACATAAATTTTTAAATGTTACTCATAAAAATACTAACAGCACATTTTGCCACAGAAATATGCATATATGTGCTGTACACACACACACACACACACACACACACACACACACACACACACACACACACACGAGAACATTTTCAAACAGTGCAAAGAGTAGACTCTTGGTGACCAGCCATTTATCAGTTCAGCCCCATGTGCTTAGCACAGACTCTCACTGTACTAGATCAAGTGCAGCAGTAGATAGGAGCTTGCAGTCCAGTCAGTATCCCAATATCACCCTGATAACATCAATGTTCACCAAAAAATATTCCTTGCCTAAACTATGATGCCCTTAAAGATAACTGAGTACCAAGAAATTCCAAGCATTCAATAGTAAAATAAATACAATTTTCATGCCATGCCATGTAATTGTTGGTTGAAGGATCAGACTTAGGATTATTAGTTTAAATAGCAAGGAAAACACATATTGCTATGGCTTGTTCAAGGTCCCTTTAAATAATAGTTCTCAGTGTTCTTGAAGAGGAGACTGGAGTAAGAAGTGCATAGAACCTCCACAGGCCCCTGAATATCCTTTTCAAGAGCAGTTTCCCTGGACAAGGCACATCTGTTCAAGTGAGGGCAGTAAGTATATAGAGCCCTTCAAGTATTGACAGTATTGAAAAACACTGCAGATGTTTACACATGACCAGTGTGGGGGATATCAGTAACATAATTAAATACATATGCATTGCTGCCATTTGTTTAATTCTGCCTGTTTATTTATAGTTTGTTGTGCAAATAAGGCAGTGAAGGGTCTCTAAGGCTCCCCTGTATCTTTCATGCAAGGGTATATCATGAAATATTTTAGATGCTTTTTTGAAGATGTAAATGATAACACTGGGTTTTAATATTCATTCTGAAGTTAATCCTCAATATGATTTTAATTCTAGAAATTTAAATTTGTTTGTTTGTTTTGTTTTTTCAGACAGGGCTTCTCTGTGTAGCCCTGGATGTCCTGGATCTCACTCTGTAGACCAGTCTGGTCTTGAACGCATAGAGATCTACCTGCCTCTTGAGTGCTGGGATTAAAGGCATGTACCACCACTACCACCATCACCCAGAGAAATTTAAATTTTAATAGAATTAAAATTAAGTAGCCTGACTTAAAAAAAAATCTCACAGAGTATACAGTTATTCTATTTGTAGAGATAAAATAGGAAATTCATTGAGAGGAGTTGCACAGAGCAATACAGTATTCTTCAGGTAACACTTCACAATAATACTGTAGATTTTTCCCAGCTATAATATACAACTTTCAAAACAACCTTTTATAGAGAAAATTAAGGAACAACAGCAAATAAATTACATGATGTTCAAAATGAAGTGTGGTCATTTTCTTTACTATCATACAATCTCTTTCTTTTTAAATCAGAAGTGTGTGATAACAGGTCTAAACAGACACAGCCTAAAACAGCAGTCTTGGCTTTTGTATATCTTGGGTTACTCTTAACATCTTCTAATCCCATGAAAACAGAGACCAAAGATTACCCATTTTATGCATTCGTAAGTATAGCAGGTAGAAGGTTTCCTGTGGTGTAGATGTACAGAGCAGGCATGTGAAAGCCAGCATCGGAATTCTGCTGTATAACCAGCTTTATAATCTTTGGCTACTTCTTACCAAGTCTGTTTTTCCAACAATTAAACCTTACTAAGTTTTGAGAGAGCTAATTAACATAATACTCAGGAAAAATGCTAAGTAATAAAGTTTTTATCCATATTAGCAGTGTGTTTCCAATCTTAATCAACTGTGAGTTTCTTGAGAAACAGGCTATTGTGTTGCCCATGTATGCATCTTCAACACCAGGGTATTGCAAAAATGCTTGGCATACAGTTATAATTATTGCCTAAGTTTGCTGCTAGTTGGAAACACAAAGTGTCTTGTTCTGCTACTGAGCTACGCAAATGGACCCAGACACACAGTTTAAATGGAATGCAGCTAAAGGGATAAAAATAATCAAAAGTGTTAAAGGTCATACATTTTCACTTGGATTTAAAGCTAAATAATTACATCTATATATAGAATCAATATTTTATCTTGGGATCAAAGTCAGTAATATGATGTTGGTGTCTTCACTGTATACAATAAGTGATTAATTTGAAAATAAGACAGTTAAAGACACATTTAAAATTTCACTTGCACATGTTTTAACACAACAATATAAATCAAATTAAAGTGATCTAATTCCACGGACTAAGAATCATCCTTTAAAGTATAGGGTTAAAGGAAAATGATAAATTTAACGCAATACATTACTGGCAAGGAGAACCCACTAAGGCATCCTTTTAAAGGACTTAATTTGTTCTAAAAGATTAAAAGTATAAGACTTTTTAAAAGGTTTTCCTTTTTGTTTATGGGACAGAATCCATTTATTTGATTAAATGAATGGAATAGTTTGAGTCAGAAAAGAGACTCCCAAAACTATCTAGGGATTGTGAACTTCTGAGCATGAGTAACTAGTTTATATAACTAAACTAGTGAGTTGAGCCACCGAAATTAATCACTTGCTAAAATGTCATGTGCTATCACTGACTTTGCAAACATCCTGCCAGCAACAATCGGACACTTCTCAAAGTACACAGAGAGAGTGGATGTTCTCACACACATACGTTACAGATCCCGATGTACAGGACACTTTTCAAAGTACACAGAGAGAGTGGATGTTCTCACACACACATACGTTACAGATCCCGACGTACAGGACACTTCTCAAAGTACACAGAGAGAGTGGATGTTCTCACACACACATACGTATTACAAATCCCGATGTACAGGTATTGACAGTAGGTGTAGATGGAAAGTGGTATTAACGGAGAGGAATGCTTAACGTGACAGCTGCCGGAACTCCTTTATTAATGTGTATTTCTATAGTAGCTCTTCCTTCTTCCTGACTTGATGTGGTTCCTGGTCTCCCCACTCTGCTATTTCTGCA